CCCCAAAAAAAAAAAAAACAAAAAAAAACTAATCTGGATTCCATCCTGCGTGGGTTTAAGGTGGCGTCATCAGAAATTGTGTTTTCCAAAACGGATAGACAAGTACAAGGTACCCGTCTTCACTCGAATACAACGCACGGTCATTATTGCTGCATCTAGACTCAAAAGGAGTTGCCCCAACAAAGACACAGCTATAATGACCGTGCGTTCTATTCGGGTAAAGACGGGGACAGGTGTGGGGAGGTGGGATGAACACGTGGCAGCAGAGGAGGGCAAGCAGGTTAATTGGTTGTGGATACATAGGGGCAAAGACGTGTATATACTATATAGAAAGGAAGGGGTGATTTTATTTTTTTTTGTCGGTCCTTTTTTCTTCTTTTTGGAGATGTGATTTTAATTTTTTGTAGATTTTTTTTTTTTTTTTTTGGAGATATGATTTTAATTTTTTTTGTAGGTCCTTTTGTTTTCTTCTTTTCGGAGATGTGATTTTAATGTTTTTGTAGATTTTTTTTTTTTTTGGAGATCTGATTTTAATTTTTTGTAGCTCTTTTTATTTTATTTTTGGAGATCTGAATTTAGTTTTCTGTAGATCTTTTTTTTTTTTTTGGATGTAGGTGGATGGAATGATGTGTAGAGATACCTGGAGAGGCGAAAAATAATGATTTTTAAACTTTTTTTTTTTTTTTTTTTTTCCCCTAATCAAAGAATAATTGAAGGAAGGATTCGTTTTTCGCCCCTTCGTTTCCTTCTTCTCTTTTGCCGTTTTTTTTTTTTTTAAAGAAGGATCAGTTTTAAATAGTAATAAACTGATCAGAAAAGATTCTACACTCCATCTTAGCCAAAAGACTGAGAAAGTTGTACTCTCTCTCTCTTTTTTTTTTTTTTTAACGCTGTCCTTTCGCGCCCAAAAGACTGAGAAAGTTACACCTTTTCTTTTTTTTTGAGAAAGGTATACGCTCTGTATATTCAGATCAGGATTTTCCTGGATGAACCTGATCTTGAATAAGGCCAGATTCAGTCAAGAGAATCCTCCTTTTTTTCTTCTTCTTCTTCTTTTACTCAAATCTTCTACACATTGAACCAAAGAAAATCCAGAGGGAACTAGATTGCAATCAGACTCGACTTCAGACTTGCTCACAATATGCGTATACAGGACTGATGGCAGAACCAAACTCTTTAACTCAGGATCGACAATGAAATTGCTCTTAAACTCTGTTCAAAACAACAGTACAATTTGAGGCTATGGTCGTCGAACACAGTCTCCGCCTCCAGCCTCACTCTCCCTCATGCACGCATGTACGAGGATCACCCTGAATCTCCACGCTACACAGACACACACACACACACACTGTCTACACTCTGTCTGCGCCAACAGCTGGGTGGCTATGGACGCCGTCGTCTTCCTCCTTCTAGCTATGGCCGCCGTCGTCTTCCTCTTTCTAGCTATGGCTGCCGTCGCCTTCCTCCTTCTAGCTATGGCCGTCGGTGTCTTCCTCCTCCTAGCTGTGTCTTCCTCCTCCTAGCTATGGACACCGTCGTCTTCCTCCTCCTAGCTATGGCCGCCGGTGTCTTCCTCACTGGCCAGCTATGGCCGCTGTCTTCCTCACTGCCCACCTCTTCTCCGGCCACCTGCAGACCTCCACGCGCAAGTCACCAAGGTAGCGCTTCCGCATGGCTCCCAGGCGACTGAATGAATGACTGGCCGCTGCCTCTTTATTTATACTTGGTTGGAGGTACCCGGTCCTGCCTCCAAACCGCGTGGCCCTGCCCTGGGCCAAACCACGTGAGGCCCGGGTCCGGAGGCTTCCGAACCACGTGGGCCTTCGGGCCAAAACGCGTGGGCCTCTAGACCCAAACCTCGTGGTACAGGCCCCAAAACGCGTATTCTGGAGACTTTTTCAGAACGCGTGGGCCTTGCCCTTTCCCCACCTGCAGCCCCTACCCATGGTACTTGCTGACTGGACTGGCCTACAGGGACCTACGACCTTCTAGAGCCTACAGACTTACGGACAGACTCAAGGGGTCAGTGGACTCAGATAGAGCTCAGTAGACTCAGATAGAGACTTCTAGAACAGACCCCCTTTCTAAGCTAATGGTAACAGACTTGGTGCCCGGGAACCATAGCTGGGCCCAGCTCGGTAACGTCAAAATGTCTGAAAATTTGAGGGTCCGTAGATTGGGTCGTGATCTTTCAGGGAAAAATATCAGAATAAATAAATAAAATCATTTTGACGGTGAAATATTTGCCGTGCCGATTTGGTTTATTTCTGATTTTTGCCGCAAATTCCGTATGGAGGCCTGCCCGTCGTGAAACGGCGTTACCGGTACCCCTGAGGTTTTCTGACGTCAGGAGGACCGGTTTTCCACGCTGTACTACCGGTACCCGTCGTGAAACGGCGCTACCGGTACCCCTGAGGTTTTCTGACGTCAGGAGGACCGGTGGTTTAATGGCAGCGGCCCGCGGCCAATGTATGGGCCAAGTACTGGTGGTTTAAGTACTAACCTACAGACCTAGGGATAAAGTCCAACTGCCCTACCTATGGACTAACCTACGACACAGGATAGGTAGAGGGTTTGAATCTCACACAGTCACCGGGTGGATGTACAGGGCACAGGCACAGGTCTAGGGATCAAATCTCACTCAGCACACAGGGTTAAACCACCAGTGCTTCCTAGAGTCGTGCCCCTTGACGCGGCACGATTTTAGGAAACGTACGGGCTACTACAGGAGTGCCCAAATTCATCCGACTAGAAACGTTCCTACTCTATTATTTTTTTTCCCGCGACCGATAGCTGGGCCGAGTACTGGTGTTTTAATGTACAGGGTTTTGGGCACAGGTCTGGGGATCGAATCTCTGTGTCTGCAAATGTCGGGTTAACTGGGTGAAACCGTTTCAAGATGAATGAAAGTAAATAATTCTGTGTGTAATGTGCGTCAGACTGTCAGTGTTGAAGTTGTTCCAACTTGCAAAAGCATAAAGCATATGATTATGGGCGTCACTGCACTACTCTCGAAGTGTGCAAAACGAGAGTGAATATTCCGCTAGAATATGGAAAGATACACGGCCATGATTTTTGTCTTTTGTGCATTTCAAGAGTAGTGCAGCGAGGCCCTGTGGTGTGGTAGTAGTAGTGATATCACAAAGCTAAGCGTCGAAGTTGTTCCAACTTGCAAAAGCATAAGAGCATTGAAAATGAGATTGAAAGATAGAAAGGATTGACACAGGATAGCTAGCGGCCCCGACGCGTTTCGATGGCTGCCGCCATCTCATCAGGGGGGGTTCCCTACCACCTTCCCACACTAGTCGAACTTCCCGCAGTCCCCCTCTCCCGTCCTTGTCTGCAGCTGGTCTCCGGAGACCCCTTCGGCTTACCCAGTCGTTAGTCCTGAAAAAAACTTCTCTACACTCGATCAATGCGAATATAGCCCCAGTCTGGCAAATCATGGGACCACCACGCTACCAATTCGAAACAGGGCCGTGGATCCAGCTGCTCCCACGCGAGGGTTCCCTGGTTGCGGACTGAGCCTGACCGCCACTCCGCTGAAAACGTCCCCTAGCTCCGAAAAGCAGAAAACATCGACAAGGCCTGGCTCAAGACCCATCCCAAAGAGAAACCAGGTATGCCATGCTGAAAAAACAACAGGCCCTTAAATCACCAGTACTAGGCCCAGCTATCGATGCCGAGCCGGCCGACCCTCTGCGTGCCAAGTTTTGCCGACCCTTTGTTTTGGCTGGCACTTCCAGCCATTCTGGTCCGGTACCCCGAAGCCCTGCTGGTCCGGCCTGTTAACGGGGAAGCGCCGCGGCCGATAGCTGGGCCGAGTACTGGTGGTTTAACACATGTCGTACTATAGAGGGTAACCTTGTCATCGCAAGCCACACAGCAAATGGACAAACACAAGGATAAGTTCCAGGTCCTATGTCAGGTGCTGCTCCAAATAAGGGACCCTGTCAAAGCAATCGATCGACAAATTGTGCAAAATTGCGACTAACCGTAGGTACCACCGTCTTTACCCGAATAGAATGCCCGCCCGGTCATTATAGCTGCATTTGGCCCAACTTTCAGTCCAGATGCAGCGATAATGACCGGACGGGCATTCTATTCCGGTGAAGACCGCAGCCGAACTTAAAAAATTCAGAAAGATACGACAAAGGCAACATCCTAATCTGTCATCTGTTTTATTGCTGCAGGAAACACACAGTAAACTGCCTTGTGGCGCTCCGTTTCACTGCACAGTGCTTCAGCAGCTTATGTTTTCTTCCATTTGTTTTTTGCCGGTGTCTCCCCCTCCCCCGCCCCCAGAACAGCGCCGATTCTAGCTGCCTTCGTCTCCGAGCACGACGCACCCTCGTCATGACTGTATCCGACTGGAAAGCTAGCTTAGATACACGCATGACGAGCCTGCATTGTGCTCGGGGGAAGACGGTAGCGGTAGGTAAAGCCACTTCAGAATTTTACCCACCCCAATGTGACAGAATATCTCAAAAAAAAATAAGAATTAAAAAATGACAGAATAGGGTACACACAGGCAGCTGTTGATGAATGTAGACCAGGTCCTGAGTTA